AAAAAAAAAAAAAAAAAAAAAAAAACCCAGCCAAACTCACTACTATCGAGTTGATTCCAACTCCTAGCGACCCCCTTTGGGTTTCTGAGGCTGTATAGCTTTACGGAAGTAGATAGTCCCATCTTCCTCCTGCGGAGTGGCTAGTGGTTTGAATTGCTGACCTTCTGGTTATCAACCAAATGCCTTATCAACTACACCACTGGAGCTCGTTCTAGGGGGCACAGCAAGCCAAATAAAACAATAGCACTTATCTGTCTCAGGTTTTCATCTTAAAATGGAGTAATAATAACAACTTCATAACTATTTCTCCAACATATTTTCTTTGTAAAAACAAATAAAATTAGTAAATAATTTCTTTTTTTAGTGTGGAGCCATATATTTAGTAATATGGACATGTGTGTGCAAACACATATACAAAGGGAAAATAACACCCCTTTTATAACATACCCCAAATGTATTCTGAGCTTTGTCTCCTCTCTGGGCAGTGTGATATAGACACTATTGTCTTGCCATCGGCTTGATCTGGCCCTTAGTGAATTCATCCAATTGTAAATTTTTTAACCTTAATTTTATAGCTAAAGTGTCAGCAAGGCATCTAAGTTCCTGTCAAGAGCAAATTCTGCTTAAGCAAGTTTAATATTACTTAAACATTCAACTTACTTCTTGGGTAGCTTCATTTTTTTCACTTTTTCATCAGCATGTTCATCTGATATACCCACATGGCATCCCAATGCCAACAACGTCCTGGAAAATAAAACCAGAGGTAAGCCACATTAATTTCCTCCATATGTCCAGAATAACCCAACATTATAACAGATGGAGATAAATACAACATCCAACCTTGAAACTAGAGAAGTCTTTTTTTAAGACAAAAGGGAAATACATTTATTAATATATTATTTACTTTTGAGAAGTATAAGACATTGAGAATAGAAATGGCACAAACAAGAATATACTGAATAGTCAGTCTCCCTACTACTCCTTTCTAGACACTAGTTTCTTTTGCCAAAGGCAACGATTTCTACCAATTTCTTGTATATCTTTCTACAGAGAGTCTACTCATATGCTAAAACATGGGTTTGTGTATATATACACATACATATATTTTTGTTGTTTGCTGGTTTTGCCTTTTACACAATTGGGTATATATGACAGATATTGTTCCACAATTTGCTACTTTCACTGTACAATGTAACTTTGATATCATTGTCCTTTCATATTGCAGTGTAGTAAATTACTTAGTGTGGCTTTTCTACCCACAAGTCTTTGTAAACTCCAAGGTGGGATTTTCTATGAGCAACTGAGGAGCTCCTGATTGCTGAAGCTATCCACCTGGGTTATTTCTGTTGGGCATGGCACAATACAATGTTCTGGGAGGTT